TGGACCAGCTTTATCCATCTCCCCGATCAGGTTTGTCGGAACGATCGGGCGAATGACGTTAGTTTGAGGCGAGGATTGTGGATACAATCCCGGATTGAAAAGTGAAAACCCTCCCGGCTGCTGGAACATGGACATGAAATGTCCAAAATTCTGAAGAGCCTGGCTGTACATTGGATCAAGGGGTCCGGGGAAATTTGAAGGAAAAACGGGAACAGGGTTCACGGGGGAAGTGAATGGGATAGGTGGTGGAATGGTGATGATGGGGGTAGGAACCTGGCTTGACGGTTGGGAACTTCCTCCCGGGAATGAAATGACATTCTCAGCGGGAGTAGAAATTTGTGAGATCACGGTTTCCTGATTACTGGCCATGACTTTTTTGTAATAGGTCCCACGGTCGGCGCCAATTTGATGGTGTAAATTACCACGCAAATATTAAGTGTGAGTAATCGGAAGGGTTGTAGGTGGAATCACCTGTAGCCCGGTTTGTTATTAATGATAATAGGAGTTATTACAAATACAAGCCGTGTAGATTAATTCAAAACATGCCTCACAAATGAGGCTTTTAAGGGTATTTATAATAATCCTAAGCACGTCAAGCACGTCTCTGATTATTCAACCGGTCAGGCGGCTGACCGCCCCACCAGGTGCACTTGAGTAAATCTTCGGGTATTGGCATCTGGTCTCCTCATCCAACCGGTCAAATAACCCGGGCTGAAAAAGACGCGTGCTGTTCGGTGAACCAACCGGGTGGTATCCTTGGGTTATTACCCATCAAGGGGCAAAGTATTTTTATTTATTACTTATTTTTGCTAAATATTTGTTGAAATAACATATAATTGTCATTTATTGTTCTATATAACATTTAATATAGTTTTTGATAAATTGAATTTGAAATTAATCAGTTATCCAATGTAATCCACATTATAAATTTAGTTTTGGGACGAATGAATTGATTTATACGAAGTGCTTTTATATTTTTAAGAAAAAATGTGTAACTAGAACTGATGGGTATAAGCCAATGGCAGCCCGATCTAGCAGACTACGGCCAAGCTCGCAACTAACCACTTAGACGGCCGAGCGGAGGACCTTCGAGGTGGACATTATGGTTATGATCAGACAATCCGGGCGGCCGAGTGAGCCAGAATACCAGCGACATGGTCAAGTGCCGATGACTAACCGATGAGTAAGGTACCGACCATGATGCCACTTGGATGTGACAACACAAGTGCGGATGATGTGACAAGCATAACTCCTATGTCGGTCACCCTGCAGCACGAAGTTCAACGTGACACAAGGATGACTATAATAAGACTGACAGAGGTCTAGGATTGAATAATATTCCTTTTGTTTCCTATAAATACTTATGCAAATCCTTCAAACAAAGAGAACAACTATATTTTGCCTTCAATATATCTTGTTTCGCCTAAACTAAATCCAGTATTTTACACCATCAAGGACTAAAATTCATGATGAGGACTTTTATGTTATTCATTTTTTATAATAGGGAGATGCTAGGAGTACACCAAAGGTGTATTCCAAATGTACACCACTTGTTTCTACAACATTCATTTTATTTTGTTTTATTTTAGAATATTTGGGATGCAACACTAGCATTTTCTTTTAAAATAAGACTGCCTTTATTTATCGGGGTAAATTAAAACAAAAAAAGAAAAAATAAAATACAAATTCGAAAAGAAAACTACTCCCTCACGCAGCCACCGCTGCCAAAGCCGTCAACCACCGCCATCGGTTTAGCCGCTGCACCACCCGCCACCGGCAGCCATTGTTCATTAATACCCCGTAGTTTTCAAAAATTTAAAAACTTGTGAATACGATGCCAAAAATAGGATCAAACAAGCCACAATACCCACCAGCACAAGTGGCTGGCTCTCTCTTTCCCATCGCCATTTCTGCAAAAATTGATCACTAGTCGGCCTCCGCAGCCGCCGCCATCGGCAGAAGCTCTCAATTAAAGACTGATATCTGTCTGCAATAACAAGATGAAAGACTCAAAGCAGCAGCTTATCGACTCGCTCACCTCTCATATTTCTCTCTATAATTCACGCTCATCAAACCCTGCAACTTGCCCTAATCCGAGATCATCAATTCTGAAATGGTTCTCATCCCTCACGGTTCATCAAAGGCAAGCTCATCTCACAGTCGTCGACGCGAAATTCACCCAGATCATCTTCCAAATGCGCGGCAAGCTGAAATCAAACGGTAATGGGTTATTTATTATACTCCCGGATATCCCCGATTGCCTAGGTAGTAGCCTTCCTAGCATCTGTTTTCGGAAGTCCCATGGTCTTCTAACTCGAGTTGCAGAGAGCAACGAGGCTGAAAGATTCATTCGAGATTCAATTCGGCTTTTCGACTCAAAAGAAGGGGAGGGTATTGATGATGGGTCGTATTCAGCTGACCGTTTAGATTCTTTGACTGTGAGCGAGGATCTTGTAGGAAGCGTGGATAAGTTTGTGGATGCCATGGATGCCGTTTCAGACGGGAGGTTTTTGAGGGGAGAAGAAAGTTGCATTGGGTCGGAATGGGCAGAACTGGACTGGTTGAAAGCTAGAGGGTATTATAGTGCAGATGCATTTATTGCAAATAGATTGGAGGTGGCATTAAGGTTGTCATGGTTGAGTTGCACTAATTGTAAGAAGAGAGGCGCGAAGCTGAAAGATAAGGTGATTTCGGCTGGTTTAGCTGCAAATACTTTTTGGAGGAAGAAGGGATGTGTAGACTGGTGGGAAAAGCTGGAAGAAGCAACAAAGCAGAAAGTGTTTCTAACAGCTTTGGGGAAAATTGCAAAATCTCTGGTACATTTGATATAGAGAATTACTCTCTCTCTCTCTCTCATTGTGTTATTTTGCTTGCAAATATTATGTTCTCCTCTGCAGTATTCATAATTATGATTACACGATATATTGGATAGTATTAGTTGCTGAATGATGGAATAATTCTAAATCATTTTTTACTTATGAGGTGAAAAGTTTGGATTTGATTGCTCATTTTAGTTCTTAAGTAACTAGGCGCTCACATGTATCAGATACTTTGGAAGTTAAAATGACAGATCTGCTAACAGAATGGACTGGGCCCTTTAAAGGAAAGATTTGATTTTTTATGTATTTTGGGCAGAAAATTTCCATCATCTCCGATGGAGCCAAAATTTCACCATTTTTTGGCTTTGGGGTGTGATGGAATAAATCAAAATGGATCTCTAAACTGTTTGTGCTTCTTTAATTAATGAAGTAGCAGTTAGTCAAGCAATGCAACTTTCGACGTTGAGCCGGGGGTCTCTTTGGAAACAGCCTCTCTACTTTCGAGTAGGGGCAAGGTCTGCGTACACACACCCTCCCCAGACCCTACTCTTGTGGGATTTAACTGGGTTGTTGTTGTTGTTGTTGTTTGGGCAGAAATTGAGCATACATGCTCAATAGGAAAGTTGATCATGCATTAATGTATAACCTTTGATATGGAAACTGAAAGTAATACCTCATTGGCAAAATAAAATACTCCGTAGTAGGCTAATAGCATGTGTAGTATCTTTAATTAACAACGATCATTGGAAGGAGAACTAGAGGATCGCTTGAGTCGTAAAATCTAGCTTAACCCCCCCAAAAAAGAATCTTGGATTGAAATCTCAATCTCACTGATCTCTAGTATAACTATCTCACCTATGGAGGATATGTAGTTTTGACTGAAGAAAGTTGTCTGGAACCTGGTTCATGTCTAGATCCGTAGTGCAGCAGGATTAATGAACTTAGCTACTTTTCCCTTTTCAGTTTTGAGATGTGCCATCTTCTACTTTTATAACTCTATAGTGTCATATAGGGCTCCATTCTGAGCTGTTTAGCCTGTTTTTACCCCTTCTTGTGCATATTTTATTTCAGGGTGCTGATATTTTCAAGGGCAAAAGAGGTGTACTTGATGATAACACGTGGCAATATGGTGGCATAGTTGACCAACCATTTAGGTGCACCACTACACTGCCACACCAAGAATGCACTGATGAAAGTTATGTATCGAACCCAAGATCTGTTAGTCAGATGCCATCATCGTTAATTCGTGTAATAGAAGGTTTATCTATTCTTCAAAATATTTCCACCATGTTGTTTGAATTTCAACATGCTTATTATGAAAGAGAGAGACTGTATTTTAGCTCCTTAGAATCTATTAGCTTGATTTCTGATTGCATATTAAGAAAGCTGCGAGGTTTACTCATGGTCATCTCACATGAGTGTACTAAAGTTGAACTCTTGGAGGATGACAAATCAAATTCATCTTTAAAGAAAAACAATGAGAGACTTGGCTCTGGCAACAATAAGAAAACCCGCAAGAACAGTAAAGTTAAAAAGAAAAATCATGTTACAAAGCTAACAGCGGATGGTGTTACACTTCCAAAATCTCTTGAGGTACCACTCCATGTCTCTATTCTTGTGAACTCAACAATTTGGAGAAGATTAAATGCTTCCACTCACTATCCTTTTATTAAAATGGTTTTTTTCTAGGTTGATCGATTTGGATTGGCACATGGTGAAGATGGACACGTCTGTTCATCTAGTAGCTTGGATTTTAAGGTGCAGCAGATGGAATTTGATAAAGATCCTGTTCCTTCTATACTTCACATGGTTGTACTTGTCTCTTCAATATGGATCATCTTTGTTTTTTCTGATGGCAATAGTTTGTGACTGGTTGGATCTCACCAGGGACATGGAAAAGGACAACATACTAACACTGTCCAAAACGTTTCCAAGAAGAAGAGAGAAAGAAATAAGCGTAAAAACTCTAGCTGCAAAGTTTCAGCAGAAGCTGGCAGCAACCAGAAAGGTCCTGTGAAGTTTTCCTCTCTACCTCTGTCTTGTGAAGATCACCATATGGAACCTGCTTTATTAATTGAAAATTTAGTTGAGGAAACGTCAAAAGTTGATGTTAATGAGGATGATAACAGTGATGAACAGATTAGAAGTTGTTCTGGAGCTGTGCAGATGGGCAGTGCAGCAGAACTCACTAACGGATGCCATTCTACTGGTCGTACAGATGGAATAAGGACTTCTGCTCCAATGCGCTTCCAGGCATCAGAGAGTGTGCTAGAAAATGAAAAGGCAGCTGTTGCATTAGAAACCATAGTTTTAAATACCAATTCTAGTGTAACTTCTCCAATGTCTTTGATTGAAACTGTTAACAATCCTGAACTCCGTGATATAAACAGAGAAAATAAAAATGGTTTAAATAGAGAGGTAATGAAACAAGTTGTATTGGGAAAACAAGAGAAAGTTGGAGATCAGGAAGAAATAATCTTCTCTTTTCAGGAGTGTGGAAGCATTGATGTTCATAATAGTGGGCCTGCAAATGCTTCAACATACCTTTCTTATGAATGGCCCAGTGTAGCTCCTATCCACTTCCAATCGGGTAACTCACATATCCCACCTGCTACCGATAGACTGCATCTAGATGTTAGTCACAATTGGCAACGCCACTATCACCAATCTTATGTACGCACTGTGCATCGTGTTAGGAATCCTTCAATTGAATCAGGGTGTACAGGCATTATATCTAGACCTTTAGCAATGAACCTAGACTGGCCTCCTATATTACACGGTGTTAATGGAATAGCTACATCTGTCACCTGCAATTATGATGCCGGATTTCTCTCAAGGCGACCATCTTTTCAACAGGACTTAGCTAGCCAAAGCATTCACTGCAATACCGCGAGTGGTGATGATGAAAGGGGGTATTCTGGCGACTTTGATTTTTCTGAATCTAAAAATGTGCAGGAAGCGTATGATGAACACGAGTACTATCGTATGCCAGAAGAAGAGTTAGAGGTCCACGGTCTCCCTGGTGTGGATTATAATCAGTACTTTGGTGGTGGTGTAATGTACTGGAATCCTTCGGATTTTCCTGGGACAAGCTTTTCACGCCCTCCTTCTCTTAGTTCAGATGATAGTTCTTGGGCTTGGCGAGAGGCAGATATGAATAGGGCTGTTGATGATATGGTTGCTTTCTCTTCTTCTTACAGCACAAATGGATTAACTTCACCGTCTGCCACTTCCTTTTGTTCTCCATTTGACCCTTTAGGATCTGGAACTCGTGGTTATGTTGTATCAGGAAGTGAAGTAAATACCAGCAAGGTTTCTCAGTCATCAATAGCCACATCCTCTGATCTAGTGGGAGAGGAGAATGCTCCAGCTTCCTTGTCCAAGGTGTCTCTTGAGAGCGAGACAAAGGCCGGTGATACACTTCCATATCCCATTCTTCGACCAATCATCATTCCGAACATGTCAAGGGAAAGATCAAGATCTGATTTCAGGCGTAGCCATGATCGTACAAGTCCTTGTATTCCTCCTAACAGGCAGGAACAACCCCGGATGAAGAGGCCACCATCACCAGTGGTTCTTTGTGTTCCAAGGGCACCTCGATTGCCTCCCCCTTCTCCTGTTGGTGATTCTAGAAGGCACAGAATTCCAACAGTTCGCTCTGGGAGTTCCAGTCCTAGGCATTGGGGTATGAAAGGTTGGCTTCATGATGGAATTAACTTTGAAGAAGCTTGTAAACGTATGGATGGCAGTGAAGTAGTTTGGCCACCTTGGAGAAGTAAAAACTTTTCAGGTCATCAGTTAACTCAGCCTCTGACTGGAGCCTTACTGCAAGATCACTTTATTGCAATATCACAGTTAACTCGTGACAAGGAGCATGTAAGCATCTTCTCGAATATCATGTTTCTTTTTGTTGGTTTTAATGCATAGAGTTCATCTTCTTCTTTCTTTCCATCCTATTGGTGCAAATGGTGTACTTTTTTTCTCTTTCCATTTCCAGCCAGATGCTTCATTACCTCTTCAGCCTTCTGAAATGTCAATCGGATCCACAGAAAAGGCACCCCTCAGTTTGATCCACAGCAACCTTCATGATGAAATCAACACATTCTATAAAGAGGTACGGTGCTAGATAGTACTTTCAGGAACTAGTTTTTACTATTTAGAATGAAGTGGGATGTAAAACCTTTATTTCTATCAGTTCTGTATGTTACTAATTTACTATTTCATTACTTTCATATTATATGATGACAAGGTTGCTGCGGAGAATTTGATCAGGAAGCCTTGCATTAATTGGGCTGTAAAGCGTGTTACACGGTCACTACAAGTCTTATGGCCCAGATCTAGGACAAACATCTTTGGGTCAAATGCTACAGGTTTGTCACTTCCTTCAAGTGATGTCGACCTAGTGGTCTGTCTTCCTCCAGTGAGAAATTTGGTGAGTCTGATTTTATATCACTCAATCTTGCTTACTTCTGCATTTATTGTCTTACACACCTTCCTGAAAAGAAAGAAAAAGGAAAGAAGAAGCCTCATTGCAATCATTTTCCAGGAACCTATTAAAGAAGCTGGTATCCTGGAAGGAAGGAACGGTATCAAAGAAACATGCCTTCAGGTAATTTAGATTATGCTCAAACAAATGAAACAACTATCCGTGGATGATCTTTTTGATGAGATATGATGATTTCTTTGCCAGTGTTATCACAAATAACTAATAGTTGCAACAGATTTTTCCAACTTTTTAAGAATTAATAGGTGTTTTTTCATCAATAGATTTCCACGAACATAGGTGGCAAAATACACATAACTTGGGGTGAACAAGTTGTCTTGCAGGATTTCATACTTTCACATGGAATGTGTACATAACATTGCATAATTGTAATATAATGAAAAGTGCATAGATTCTGCATGTTCTAACTGCATTGCATGCATTTCCTCAGTTGTATTTTCTTTTTCTTCATTGTTTGGATGGCTTTGATGGGTACGCCTTCCTGCTTTTTTCATAGAATTGCCTTTTTTCAATTTTTCCACTTCATGTTGTGTGCTTTCTGCTTGCTGTGCTTTTCTGTCGTTCTTTTTAGTTGTTCTTTGCTTTTTTGTGCTATATGCTTTCTCTGCTTTTTGTGCCTTCTGTGAGCTTGTGCTATCTGTGTTACTTGAGCCAGGGTCTCTTGGAAACAGTCTCCCTACTTTCGAGTAGGGGTAAGGTGTGCGTACGCATACCCTCCTCATACCGTTGAATAGATATTGTTGTATTGTCTTTGTCCATTTAAAAATAGTTACTGCTCACTCCATATATATTTGCTCAGTTGAATAGATATGTTTTGTAAGAGATGGACTTTTGACAACAAGTTAATTTGCAGCATGCAGCAAGATATCTTGCTAACCAGGAGTGGGTTAAAAATGACTCTCTCAAGATTGTGGAGAATACTGCTGTAATGCCTCTTCTCTTTTCTCATTGCTTGGTCTTTATAATCCCATAATTTGTCCATTCTCTCTATTTACAAAGCTTCCAGATGTTTACCATAGCATTTTTGTTCCAGATACCTATTATTATGCTTGTGGTTGAAGTTCCTCATGATCTCATTACCTCCTCTTCTTCACATTCCCGAACACCAAAAGCCCAGGCAACTGGTGAAGAAGTCAATACCTTACACACTGATGTGACTGGTTCAGAAAGCTGTACGTCCCCAAAATGGCCTGCAATTGATGCTTCTGTCAAGAATGTAAAATCAGTCCGTCTTGACATTAGTTTCAAATCACCATCACATACTGGCCTGCAGACTACTGAGCTGGTAGCTATTGTCGTTGGACATGACTTCTTTTAGTTGCATGCAGATGAACTTAGATGCTGGCATACTGCATAATATTTCTCTCTCTTTTTGCTGCATTATATTTTTCTTTATTACTTTTATATCCCGCTTAGTTATATCACATTACTTCTAATTAAGGTCTACCAAACTGCACCACACTTTTTACATAGACTGTGCTCATGAAACGTGGATTGTATTATTTTTTCTATTCTAAGCATGTTTCTAATTCACTTGGTTAATCATGCTGAATTTGTGATTTTCCCTTCTCTTTATGATAGGTAAAAGAGCTCACTGAACAGTTTCCTGCCACTAAACCTCTCGCTTTGGTATTAAAACAGTTCTTGGCAGATCGAAGTTTAGATCAATCATATTCTGGTGGTTTAAGTTCTTATTCACTGGTAAGTATTTACTCTCTGGCCCAAACATGACTCGTTTTTTAAAAGTATTTTGTCCCAAGTAATGGTCATGGTCAACAAACAATGTTCAATTTTCATGTTGTTTCCAAAAAGGGTATCTTACATGGTTTAAATACCCCGGAGTAAGTTGTTAAACTAAACAATAAACTGAAAATTTATCTGTTGAATTGCTAACTTATAAAGTTGTACCTTCCCAAAGTTCGAAAGTTCAATTTTTTTGTCAAACAAGACTGTTTTTTAAACGAAGGTAGTATTTGTATTCACCAAGAAGTTAATTTTTTTAATCTTTCCACTTGCAAGCCTTGTCCTTTTCAACTTCTAATTTAAAGTGTCTCATGCTCAATTACGCTTTCAAAAGCAGTCAGTCATACCGGTAAACATATGACAGGCCAGTTCTCCGCTCGTCTCAAAAATTGCTTTGGAGAATTGTTAAATATGTATGTACCCGTACCTCTTAAACTGCCTTGTTGAACCATTACAATTTGAGATTTATCACAGTTTAACTCGAGCTAGGGAATCCACTAAATTCGGAAAATTCTATTTTTCCAACATTCTTACTTACATACATACATCAGTAACCGTAAAGATCTGAGGTTTGCAGATTCAAATCCTAACACATGCTTCACACATCTAAATCATCAATGAGATTGATTTGTTTTTATTTTCTCATGCTAATAATTTCAAATTCTATAATAGGCCTCACAGTAATTGTTTTTTTATTGCTTGACAGGTATTATTAATAATACGTTTCTTGCAGCATGAGCATCATCATGGTCGCTCTACTGTCCAAGTACACTTTTTTTCCATTTCATTTGTCATTGGCGTCCTTCTAACCTTCCAATTTGAACTGGGTTTGAGTGTTAATGTTGTACAAGTCTCATGTCTTCTAGACTTCACAAAACTACTCCCTCCATCCACTTTGAAACTTCCTACTTTGACCTGGCAAGAGTTTTAATGTAAGATGGAAAAGTAAATGCATTCCCAACTTTGTCCTTATGATTTAAAGTAAAGAAAGAGAAAGTTGGAAAGGAGTAAATGAGTAAGGGCAATTGAGTCATTTTAATTGTTTGATGTTACCAAAAAGTAGATGGGAAGAAAGGTAATGGACACACCAAAATGGAAAGTGGGAAGAAAAAAATGTAGACAGAGGGAGTATATGTTTAATACAGTTACAGAGCTTGCACACAAAGATGATCATAATAGCATAATTTCAAAATCCAAAAGGCTTGTCTAAAAACTAAAAAGAACATGGAATCATGAGATCTATATGAATTATAAGCTTGTTATTGCCTTTTTTAGTTAATGAAAGTACCTCCAACTTATAATTAATCATTCTGTTGGCAATGTTAACAAGTCTTGTTGATGTTTCTTTTTATTTTTTTTATTTTTTACTTTGTTTTAGAACTATGGAAGTCTGCTCATGGATTTCTTCTATTTCTTTGGGTAAGTACTTTGTAAGAGAATGGATCTCTTCAGCATTATCCTGATTGGGTTCTAGTAATTTTAGCTGTGTTGTTTCCTTTCCCATGGCTATTAATGGACTAAGTGAATGAAGAGACACCTTGAAGGTAGTGAGGGAGGGGTAGTGGGTGACCCATATCCCACAGAGTGTAAAAACAATAATGATTGATGGTTTGTTGTAGATCTTACTAGGAAATATACACAATTAACCAAAAGTCAACAGAGAAGTCATCTTCTTCTAGAATATATGTGAGTCATCGAGCTCTAGAGGATAGTTTTACTCAGCCTCAATTTACATTACAATCCTAGGTAGTTTGTCCTTGGAAACAGCCTCTCTACTTTGGAGTAGAGAAGTCTTCATACACACACCCTCCCTAGTGGGATTCAACTGGGTTGTTGTTGTTGTTGTCGGTTTGTTATAACAAATAGTACATGTGTACATCATCTAGAAAGTAAAAACTCTTTTTCTTGAAGAATGCCTTTGTATTTGGCTATATACACTCTGTACATTCTCTGCTGTTTTGAATATAGGGAATATTGCATTTATTAACTCTACTTTTTTGCATGGTTTATTCTCATTGTTTTCTATATCAGTTCTGCTTTAAATTATGATTATTTTTTGTTTCTACCCTCACCCTTGAATATATATATAACCCTTCAAAATGAATAGATAAAGTGAAAAGCGTATAACACACTCTTATCCCAGAGTCATTAATAAGCTTGCTTTGTGTTAGGAATGTGTTTGATCCTCGCCAAATGCGTGTTTCGATACATGGTAGCGGCTTATACATAAATAGGGAAAGAGGATGCAGGTAACAAAAAAAAGCTTGCAGTTTTATCACCAGAGGCTTGAGATGTGTAAAGCTTCCTATTAATCTTTGTTCTCAATGATCTTTTTTTTGCAGCATTGATCCAATTTATATAGATGACCCACTTTTCCCCACGAATAATGTCGGTCGGAATTGCTTCCGTATACATCAATGCATCAAGGTTAGCTTATACGTATCCGTCCAATTAGTTAAATGTAGGCGTAAACGATGAGTAGATATGAGACATGTTTTTGTTTTCCTTACCACACGAGATCTTAGTTTGCAATTTAGAGCGATCATTGTCGTCTTTCATGAAGGGGGGTTCACTTTCTAACTAGAAATGTTTTATCATTAACGTGCTTCGTATAAGAAAGCCGATTTTGTAAATTGAGGCGCATGTTGTCACAAGTCCAATAACATATTTACGTGTTTTTTCGTTGTAGGCATTTGCAGATGCTTATTGTACATTGGAGAACGAGATTACTTTCGTTCCTACCAATGGCGACACAAATGCAAAATTACGTTCACTAAAGCTACTTCCCAAAATTATTCCAAGCATTATGCAATTGGATGGTTTCCAATTATCAGGAGATTATGATTTGTGATAATGAGTTGTTACAGGAGGGTGAAATGTCCATATCAATGTAGGGTGCACTGTTGATGGTGACACTATCACCGGTACCTGGCGGCAGGTGGCGGAGCTCTCCATGTCAATGTGAGGTGTTCAAACTCCTCTCACCTCCTCTAACACATATATGCTTCTTCACTGTAGCTACTGCAAATTTAGGGTGATGCAATTTGATCACATTGAACACACACAAGCTATGGAAAAGACTCATGAGGGGGTTTTCACCCTGGAAAGAACTCAAGATTTCTTTGAGAGATGGGTTGATGAATAGCCTCTCAAATACTGTAAATTACTCCTTGTCCCCTTTTATATGACTTGTTTTTGTTAGAATGTTTGACTGAAACTATTTCTAATTCAATTTATAAGATAATTGAGTTGGATAAAAAAAACAAGTATGACATGACTATATTATTTTGTCAAATTACTAATGAAAATATGTAAAGAAAGTGAATAAAGTTTGATCTTGTGAATCATGTACTAGCCATTTAATTTGGGACATAGAGAGTTAATAGATTAATGGCAAGAGAGTATATTGTGAAAAAAGATGTATTTTCATTTGTGTTTGAGTTTAGTGGAATATGTTATATTAGTGGAGTTTGGTTTGTATAGCATTTTAAGTTTGAGTTCGGTGTAATGAGTTGGAGATGGTCTTATACATTATATTTCATGTTTATTTTACCACATTTATTCTCATAACATTGGGAATTAATATCTATCTACGGCTCCTTTTGTAAAATTGATGATTCTTGCCTCCTAACCTTTCCAGCAAACCTCCTACTGAGAATCAAAGTCAAGTAAGAACGGATGGTCCTAACCTCCGGTGCTTTGTTCGTAAAATTGACTGTTCTCATGACATTGAAAATCAAAGTCAAGTAACAACGGATGGAATCGTTTTAGAAGATACTACCTTCGTCCCTGAGTATTTTGTCTAGTTTTGATTTTTTCGATCAACCATTTTCAACATTTGACCTATAATTAAATAAACTATATATTGTATATTAATTAGAAAAAATAACACTTTGAAAATAGTTGATATAATAAATTTAATAAAACTATTTTTGTATCAATAGCTAATTTTATTTTTACTTAATCTGAGATTAAAATGTATTAATTTTGATTGAAAAAATTTAAAAATAGACAAATACTCAGGAACAGAGAGAGTAATACAACGTACAAGAATGTAGAAGCTTATTTTGAACAAAGTATGGTATATATGAAGATCATGTTCTTTAGAGCTTGAACTCTTAACTTTCAGTTCCTTCTAGTTTCTTCCAGTTCCTTCCAGTTCTTTCCAGTTTCTTCCAACTATATTTATTTTCTTCAAATTGTTTCTACTTTCTGACAAATCACTCTAAAAAAATATATTATTATTATTATTACAACTATTATGTTCATAACTATAGTTTATAAAATATTTCATTTTTCATGTCACTATTTTTAAGATACACCTTCATTATTATTTTTTCTTCAACTTTTTAATATGAATAATACTATTTTTTTGTATATTAATCTACATAAAAAATTAGGAAACTATTTAAAAAATTATGGATAAAATAAGTATGTACAATATTTTTTTAATCTAAATTTATATAAGGTAAACATCAATATTTTGATCTAAAATATAAAATATGGAATGTGGTGGGGAGTACCACATTATGAAAACCAAGAGGAACTACATTTTGAAAAAGAAAAAATGACCCAATAAGTGTAAAATAGAAATTTAACAACTAACATCACCAATAATTAAAAAACAAGTAACAAAAAAGTTATACTTTCATTTATTTGATCTACTGTTTATTGTCTCTAATATGTAAAATAGTGTGCATATAAATATAAATAATCCAATCATTTTCAACAAAATCATATTGTAAAAACTATAATTCGTATTTAATATCTTCAATTAAACTTAACTACATTGTAGAATATTAAGTGCTAGTTCATCTCTAAACTGCTTCATTGCATCTTTAGTTTGTTCATCAAACAACATCACTTTGGGCCTATCTTGTAATATATAAAATATATTACAAATATATTATTTTATAATAAATGCAACATAGCCATAATAACTCTTAAGTATTTAACATTTTCATATTTATGCTAATTTTATATTCTAATTAATTTTTTTAAACTAGCTTTTTACATATATATGAAAAATAATAATATGTTTTCTTATCTTAAAAGCAATCATTAAGATAACGTGATGACACCACCACCACCACCACCAACAACAACAACAACAATAATAATAAGTTATAACAACAAGAATCAGAATGAGAATAATATAAAACCACACATAAAAAATTTATAAAACTTTTTTTTATTTTTCTAATTCTTTCCAGTTTCTTCCAATTCTTCCAGTTCCTTTCATTTTCTTCTAGTTTCTTCCAATTTCTTCCAGTTTCCAACTTTTTTTTCCAGTCCTAAAGAACAGGCTCGAAGAGTGTTATCATACGGATCAGAGTATATCTAATGTGCACCACATTCATAGTTACAGAAAAAAATTCATAAAAATAAGAAAGTTAAAAATAACTAGTTCTTTCTAATGCGGAGTATAAATTTAACGTCTATGTAAAAAAATTCTAATTTGAGATTAAATTCCTAAGACGAAAAAACTATAAAAAAATGACCAAAAATGATGTGATAGAAGGAATTTTAATAATAATAATAATAACAATAATAATAATAATAAGAGTAAATTCCCAAAATGGTCCTTTGTAATAAGGTGTTTTCCCAATTCAGTCCTCAATAAGTTTTAATTACCTATATGATCCTCTATAATTAAGATCTATTTTAAAGATAGTCTTTCGTAAATAATGTTACTCAAATGATGATTAATTGGGAGATATTTTCGTATTTTAATCATCTAAATTTAAAGTATATTCTTGAAACAGTCATTTCTGTACAACTAAATGTAAAATTTAAAAAATACATTGACTATAAATAATTCATGAATTATTTAAAACTTAGAACAAAACTTTTAAATTTCAAATCAAATATACATCTTTAATTAGAAAAATCATTATTCTGGGAAAGCATCTCATTATAAATGATCATTTTAAGAATTAATTCTAAATTTAGCGGATAAAAAATACTCAAATACCCTCAATTAATCCTCATTTGAGTAACATTATTTACGAAGGACCATCTTGAAAATAAATCTCAATTATAGAGGGACCACATAGGTAATTAAAACTTATTGAGAACTGGTTTGGGAAAACACCTTATTACAAAGGACTATTTTAGGAATTTACTCTAATAATAATAAGAGGCCGGTTGAACCAATTTTACGAACGGGGCACCGGAGCACCCCCGGGTCATTCCATGACATTGGTTCTCAATGTCATGGGAACCAAGGCGTAATAATAATACTCCCTCCGTCCTAATTCTTTCTTTCCAGTTTGACTTTTTCTCATTTTTAAGGGATTGTATAATTAGGCTTTGACTTCCCATTTTACCCTTCTAACAAAAAATCAGAATTTGGAAAAAAATAAAGGCAATTAGGGGGAAAAGCACACAAAACATTCCATTAAATATTAAACACAAGACATTCAATTAAACATAAACAAGGACAGCCCCCTTGTAAGGCAAAAATCCGAAAAGCGACCATTACAATCACGAGGGAGGGAAAATCAGGAGCAGTACCATTACATTTCCTCCAAAATTCAGTTTGGAGGGAAACCTTTGGAAGTTTCCCTCCAACACAAAAAGAAAAACTGCAGGATTACTACACTCTATAAAAAACAAACCTTTCTACTTTTAGTAACCCTAATAATCTTCATTCCTTCTCCTCTCTTCCCATCAGTTATGCCCCCTCCTATGGCAGATTCTCCTGCTACTCTCTCTCACCATTCTGCTTTCATTGTTTCCCCTACTCTCTCTTTCAACCCAAGCCGTCATGAGAATCTGCAAAGTGAACATCAGGAAAATACCAAAAGACTTTCCAACGCACAAAGACAAAGAATTGTTGAAGCCATTCTACCATATTCAAAAAAGAACACCTTAGGGCAGTACACAGCTCAGAAAGGGATTATTAGCAAAGTTGCTGCAGATTTTAATGTTTCGAGAAGGACAATAGCTGACATATGGAGCAAAGCTAGAAAACAACTACTAAAGGGTGTTGCCATTGATGTGAAAAGCAGAATTCCAGTGAATACAGGCAGAAAAAGAGTTTCTATAGACATTGAGTCCATTGGAAACACTCCTCTTGCCCAAAGGACAACCATTAGAGCACTGGCAGCTGCCCTCGGTATGTCTAAATCAACTATTCATCTTTGTATTAAAAGAGGTTTGCTAAGAAGTCATTCAAATGCAATCAAACCCCTTTTAACAGATGAAAACATGTTGAATATATTACAGTTCTGTTTGAATCAATTGGAACCCACTAGCATCCCATGTAATTCCAGATTTAAAACATTTCACAATGTTCTGCACATGGATGAGAAGTGGTTTTTCATGTCTAAAACATCACAGAAGTATTATCTTACCAATGATGAAATGGATCCATACAGAACATGCAAGTCTAAGCGCTTCATTACTAAGGTCATGTTCTTATGTGTTGTTGGTAGACCATTCATATCAGAGAATGGAGAGATTTTATGGGATGGAAAAATTGGAATATTTCCTTTTGTTGAAACTGTGACTGCTAAAAGAAAGAGTAAAAACAGGGAGGCAGGGGTATTAGAAGTGAAACAACTTCTGAGTGTCACCAAAGAAGTGACTAAAGATATGCTGGTGAACCAGGTTATCCCTGCAATTAGGGAGAAGTGGCCCTCTTTTTTGGATAGGAACATAGTTCTCCAGTAAGATAATGCAAAGCAACACATTTCTGCCACAGATCCAGACTTTATGGCAGCAGCAAGTGTGAATGGCTTCAACATCATCCTAACTAACCAACCCCCCAACTCCTCAGACCTCAACATTCTAGACTTGGGTTTTTTTAGAGCCATCTAAGAGAAAATTGCTCCTAAAAATGTAGCAGAGCTAGTTGAGGCAGTTAAGGGTGCATATGCAGCACTTACTCCACAAACATTGAACAAAGTATGGTTGAGCTACCAACATGTGATGCAGGAAGTAATGAATAATGATGGAGGAAACAAGTACAAGCTACCACATATGGCAAAGGACAGATTAGCTAGAGAAGGAACACTGCCAGTGACTCTAAATGTACCCCAAACACTATTGGAGAAGACAGTAAGGGTGCTGACCAATAGGTCTGTGCAAAATGAAGAGCAAGTATTGCCTCAGTTCATGAGTGAAGATGGAGAAGAGTTCTCATCTTCAGAAATGAACTGGGTGTGTTTCATAACACCAAGTGTTTTTTTTGTGAATGCCTGGGTACATGTTTTTGGCTTTTGAATTTTGTATATGCAATATGTAAGTAATGAAGAGTAGATTAGTAAGA